TGGTCTCGTGTCGTTAAATCCATTGCTAATCCTGGTATCAATCCCATTTTTTCTGCCATTCCAGTAACTCTTACCGGCGAATACGCCTCTGTTACGTGCGCCTGAGTCTCGTGTTGGCATGCCCCATGGAGCCTGGTGGCTCTCCTTACCTCGTTTAATTGGCGCACGATGTTCAGTTCACCACTTGTCAACCACTCAACCAGTTCAGAGTCAAATCCCATCATGTTGAGTCCCAACTTGATGTCGTTTACCTCTGACATTTCTTCATATTGTTCCATGTCAAGTTGCCGATGCTGAGTCGCCTGCTGATCTTCTTCGTCATGATCGTCCTCTGCTTTTCGTTTAACGGGTTCACGCGGGGGATCTTTCATTTCTTCATCTTCTACTTCGAACTCGGTCCATCCGGTCCAATAACCGTTAAAGGGGTTTCCCATAGCCCATGTCTGATCGTCTTCATCTTTACCATACCAAGCATCTTCGTGCTCATGTATCTTGCCGCCGTCAATCATGATCGCGTGGGTATATCTTTTAGGCTTAAGTTTGTCCCAGCCCACTGGACACCCACCATTGGTGGGGAAGGCTAACTCTTTCCTCGGCCGTCGGTGCTGACATATAACTTTGTTCCCCTTTATTACCCACTCGTCCTTAGGTTCCTCAACTTTGGCGCTCTGCGGAGGTGGTACGTTGATCCTCAGTTTCTTCGCTTGACTTTCTGATTCTTGTTCACGATTTTCTGGTGCACGACTTTTGCTCTCAAGCCTTAACTGGGCAGACGCTAGTCTTGCTTGGATGTTCGGGCTCTCTTGTTTCTTTAACCATTCAATGACTCGAGCCCTGCAATCGGCGTTGTGCGGCTTGTGCTCTTTGTCTCCTCTCACGAGGCATTTGCATCCGTAACACCCTGGCGTCGGTCCCATTTTCAAGTATTCATGTTTTTTAACTGCAATTCCTCTTGCAATGAGTGGCTTCGTCTCAGGCGCAGTTAACTCTTGCTCTGGTAGATCCATGGGTACCATGATCCTAGACTGTAATTCCATTCCCGCTGTGCTTGGGTCAGGCTGCCAAGGTAATCCCTTTATTTCGGTAATCTCGGCAATATTCCATCTTTCAGCGTCACTTCCCTTTCTTTTAAACTCGTGCGCCTTGATTGCGCCATGAGGCGTCCCAATAATCAGCTCCTGACTCTTCTCGTTTATGCCCAGGAACACTCCACTTTCCCATCTCATTTCGAGCTTCTCGCGACCCTTGTGCGCGGGTGTCTTTAAATACATGACACACTCACCGAACTCTGGGATTTGCTTGTTAAATTTTCGCCCCCTGCACCTCTCATGAGCCGTCTTCCCATCCGTGTCTATTGTGAACTTGTTAATCAAAGGGGGCGCATAACTTACCAGCCAAGGTATTATCTGATGACTTTCTCCAAACTCAGTTTTATAATTGGCGTCCAGGGCGCTCTTTAACGTTCTGACCTGGCCCTGCACTGTTCTGACGGCTCTCTCAATTTCGCCGTTGGCCTTTGAATCTCCCACTGGGCTGACTTCAACTCCCATGTCAAGATCACACGAAGCTTTAATCCTATTGGCCAATGCTGTGATTGCTGCTTCCCCATCACTTTTGAGTATCACTCTCTTGTATCCGGTAAAACTTATCATGTCACATCCTACTTTTACCGAGTACGAGTCCACTCCCTTTTTCATTAACACTCTGCTCCAAGTCAATTTGGTCTCTCTGCAATGCATGGCCAAAATTGGGTTGCCATTGCTGCTGCTTTCCCCTTCATCTTTTCTTCCTTTAAGCCACATGTAGTCCATTGAAATTACTGGCACGTTCCCGTTCCCCTCTCTTTTGCGTCTACGGTGGTTGCGTCTGCGAGCTTTTCCTCTGACACAGTGTGGGCACCAGCTTCGGTAAGGTAAATGCGTCGCGTTATGCGCTTCAACTTCCTCTTTCGAGGGCCTCATATCACAGTAAATCTTCTTTGGTAACTCTGCCTCATCACTCACAAATACATCTTCCACATCACTTAACTCACTGTCGTTGCCCCCACTTTCACTCCCTTCGTCTCCTTCGGCATTAAAGACGTTTAAGTTTTCGCTTGGTCTTACGGGCGACGGGGGGCTTAGTAGAACAGATCCGCCTCCAGGGTCCCCGGCCGCGGAAAACCCTCAGTCACGTTCACTTCAATCCTAGGATTGACGGCTTCCGCTGGTCCCTTCGGCACTGTGATGTTGAACTGGAATGTGCCATTCTTTTCATGGATGGCTGTTAACTTGCCAGTCGCTTTGTTCATGATGTGGCTCAGGGACTTCCCGTTAGGATCCTTGTCGAACACTACTCTGTTTCCAGCGTTTACCATCTCTCTTACCGACCCTAGGACTTTGTTGACCTCTGCCACCTGAATTGGCATACTGACTGCGTTCCCATGCTCATTTTTACCTGTGATCACGCGTTGACCATAATTCTTTATCGTGGTTCCATTTGCTGCACTGTAGTGTCGTCCCTGCTTTGACGCGTCCGCATGCTTAATGGGGAAATGAGTGCCAACTTTGGGGGGCCCCACTGTGTTGTAGGCGCCGGAGTCCACGGTGACCACGATCGTCTCATGTGTTGCACTTGGTGGCGGTACTGCGTTAATCTCCGGATCACCTCCACGCATCTCAATTAGTCCAATTTCCTTGCATTTCGCCAGCCAACTTTTTTCCTGCCTCACGCTTTTATTTATTCTTTGATCCCACTGACTAGTATGGTGACGGTCTCCGTCGTACTGGTGTTCCTGATAGATCCTTCTCATGTTTACCGCGTTGTCACGCGCCGTCTTCTTTCTGGCGTAATAGGGCAGGTCCCATTTCTCGTTAACCTCCTCGATCGCAGTCTGGTCTAGCGACACGTTCATTGCTTCCTTCATCTCGACGCTGAGAACGTGCTGTGGTTGACCGAACGAGGTGGTTTGTTCAGTTTCGGTGTTTACTACAGGCTTCTCTCGCTCAACTTCGTTGGCGGTCTTCTTGGAGCCCGGGCAGTTAATGGCAATATGCCCTTTTCCGCCACACTTGTAACATTCACGCTCACTGTGCGGGGTAAATTTCCATTGGCTTCCGTAGCTTCCTCCCCATGAGCTACTTCCTTTACCTCCTTGTTTGCCTCCGATCTTACCTTTCACATGGGATCCGTAAGTGGCTCGGTAACCTTTGCCTTTTCCGCCTTTGCCACCTTTACCTCCTTTGGTGAACTGCTTGGGCCTCGTGCAGTTCCTGGCTCAATGGCCCATGCCTCCACAATTGTAACACCTGGGGCCCATTCCTTTGCCCTTACCTTTGTTTACGGCGTCAATTTCTTCATATTCTCCCCCGTCACTTTCATTGGCCCAGGACCCGTGATTCCACGATCCATCCTCTGACCACCAGTTTCCATCTTCGTCAACCCATCCTGTTTGGTCCCAAACGTTTTCGGACCCTTGACTCATCTCGTTGATATTTCCAATGCCCATTGCATCCTTATTCTTTGTATCTGAGTCAAGTTTCTTTTTACGCGCCCAGTCTTCACACTTTGAATACAAATTCTGAAATGAATCAATGTTAAGCGCGTCAGGCGTTCGCCAACATGCCTGCTGCCATTCGTCAAACCAGTCATTCGCGTGTACCATTATGGCCCTGAGCGCGGTGACTTTGAAAGGAAGAGGCAGCGAGTAATCTTTGCCATATTTCTCAAGATTTTCTGCCAATGCGCTCCATTCCTCAAGTCGGGTAACGGTGTCGGTGATCTTCTTGGGCGGTTCAGGATTCATGGCATGCGTCATTTTTGATGATAAGGTCGCTCCGGTTACTGCCGAGTACCATTTGTAAACCTTTTGCCAAGCCATGATTCCGTCTCCATCCATCAGTCCCTTTAATTTTCCTCTGGCCTCCGCACCTTCAAGTTTCTCGTTCAGAATGTACCATAAGTCTTCTTCCATCTGAGTCTTGTCGCCTTCGGTAAACTCATATTCACCTTTGTTGTCGTCCTCGGCTTGCTTGGCTTGACTTGCCTTCAGGTACTCGCTTGCAGTTAATCGACCGTTCATTATGCGTATGATGTCATCATCGTCCTCTTCTGGTACAACTCCGTCAAGCGTCTCCAGCTTCTTGTTTAGCATTTTCAGTGCCGGTCGGTAACTCGGCTTCACTTGGGCTAGTGCGTTCAAGAATTTGTCGTTCCAGTCTCTGAACTTCGCCCTTTCCCCACTGAAGTTCTTTAGCGCCTGTAACGCCTATATTCGCTTATCGGTTTACTGCTCCCGTGCTTGTTTCCGCTTCCTCCTTTGATTGCTTCCGAGATCTGACCGAACCTTTCGATCAACTGTTCTTGTACTTCACTGTTAGTCTCCAACTCGGTGACCCTTTCCACTAATCTGCGAGCATCTCTTTCGAGCGCAGCATTTCTCTTCGTGATCGCTAACAGCATACTGTTGGTCTTGTGGGCACTTTGTAACATTTGGAATGCTTCGGCGTTCGATACCTCCCTTCGGTCCTGTGCTACTCGCTCGTTGATGAACGTTGCGAGCCCAAAGTGGTTTGCGAGTAGCGCAGTTTGAACGTAACTGAAGTCTCCGTTCACGTATGCTTGCTCGCACAGGTCGTTGAATCGATTCGGATCCATGTTGACCCAAGCATCTCTGTCTGCCGGCACATTGAGATTAACTGGCGGGTCGCCCTGTCCAGGTCTTGCCGCAGCTGCCGCTGCCGCTGCCGCTGCCATGGCAACCACGCTCCGCTACCATGCAAAACCCCGAGGAGGGTTCTGCACGGGAGCTTGGCGACAATGATAACGATAGGTCACCTTTATACTCCCGAACTGCGCAACTGGTCGATGTGACTTCGACCGTTAAACACTTGAGCCAAAGGCAGCGGGGTTACTATACCTCCCTTGTCACACGCATGCTTGCATGTTAACACCTCCTCCTCCTCCTCCTCCTCCTCCTCCTCCTCCTCCTCCTCCTCCTCCTCCTCCTCCCGGGTCCTTGCCCTTCTCCAGCTCCGTGATGAGGTCGGCACCGCCGGGGCCCAGCTCGCTGTACTCCTGGAGGCCTGGAGGAACAACAGCAACTCTGCACGAGCATTGAGTCGGGCCTGTCCCTCTACAGGAATTCAAAAATAGTCAGAAAATAATACGGGGACGATTTTCTGAGTTTTTTTTTTGCAATTTTTGGGTATGTTTGGGGTATTCTTAATTTTTCGTCCAAAACCCCCTTGCAGGGGGACAGGCCCGACCGAACTAGGGGACCACATGCGAACCCTACCCCTACACTTCACGATTTCTGAGGGGGAGGGTGGGGTTCACTTCGCTCGAGAGCTCCCGAACGAAGTGAACCCCACCCTCCCCCTCAGAAATCGCGGCGGGTAGGGGTAGAATTCGCATGTGGCCCCCCACTAACGCGAGCACGGGCTCGCGGCGGACGTCCTCGCAGCGGCACTGGGCCCCCCCTTCCCTGGCGAGCGGAGGCCGCCGGGGAGGCCCAGCGCAGCTCCGAGGCAGCCGCGCCGGAGCTCCGGTGCCATCGGACCCGGGCCAGAAGAGCAGCCCTCGAGAGCACGAGACCCGCCGTCGGCCAAAGCACGCAGAACACCCAAGGGCACCCCCCCCAGGATGCACAAGAGCATCCGGCACACAGACACACACACACATACGGAGAAGACGAAGAACACTGGGGCACCCTGCCCGAACGAGGGCCCGAACCGACCTCGACCTTAGACCTCGGTTCGGCGTAGCTCATGGGTACGCCGCTTTCTTAGAAGAAGAGCATAAGCCTGGCGAAAAAACCAAACATCTGCAATTGTAAACACCGTCGTTGTATGCACCGCATTCGGTGGGGCTCCCTCTTGGGCTACCAAACGTGTGAGGGGTGTGCCAAAATAGGTGCGGTGGGTGCATGCGAACGCTGGCATCTGGGCCTTCGGTGGGGCTCCCTGTGGGGCCACGAAACGTGTGAAGGGGCATGCCAAAATGGGTGCGGTGGGCGCATGCGAACGCTGGCATTAGGGCCTTCGGTGGGGCTCCCTGTGAGGCCACAAAACATGCGAGGGGCGTGCCAAAATGGGTGCGGTAGGCGCATGCGAGCGCTGGCATTTGGGCCTTCGGTGGGGCTCCCTGTGGGGCCTCGAAACGTGTGAGGGGTGTGCCAAAATGGGCGCGGTGGGCGCATGCGAACGCTGGCATCTGGGCCTTTGGGCCTTCGGTGGGGCTCCCTATGGGGCTCCGAAACGTGTGAGGGGCATGCCAAAATGGGTGCGGTGGGTGCATGCGAACGCTGCTGGCATTTGAGCCTTCGGTGGGGCTCGCGATGGGGCCACGAACATGTGAGGAGCGTGCCAACATGGGTGCGGTGTGCGCATGCGAACGCTGGCATTTGAGCCTTCGGTGGGGCTCCCTTTGGGGCCACGAAAAGTGTCAGGTGCGTGCCAACATGGGTGGGGTGGGCACATGCGAACGCTGGCATTTGGGCTTTCGGTAGGGTTTCCTGTGGGGCCACGAAACGTGTAAAGGGGCATGCCAAAATGGGTGCGGTGGGCGCATGCGAACGCTGGCATTTGGGCCTTCGGTGGGGCCCCCTATGGGGCTACCAAACGTGTGAGGGCCGTGCCAAAATGGGTGCTGTGGGCGCATGCGAACGCTGGCATTTGGGCCTTCGGTGGGGCTCCCTTTGGGGCCACGGAACGTGTGAGGGGTGTGCCAAAATGGGTGCGGCGGGTGCATGCGAACGCTGGCATTAGGGCCTTCGGTGGGGCTCCCTGTGGAGCCTCGAAACGTGTGAGGGGCATGCCAAAATGGATGCGGTGGGCGCTTGCGAACGCTGGCATTTGGGCCTTCGGTGGGGCTCCCTATGGGGCCACGGAAAGTGTGAGGAGTGTGCCAAAATGGGTGCGGTGGGCGCATGCGAACGTTTGGGCCTTCGGTGGGGCTTCCCGTGGGGCCACGAAACGTGTGAGGGGCATGCCAAAATGGGTGCGGTAGGCGCATGCGAGGGCTGGCATTTGGCTCTCGGTGGGGCTCCCTGTGGGGCCACGAAACGTGTGAGGGGTGTACTGAAACGGGTGATGACGATGATGACGATGACGATGACGATGACGATGACGATGACGATGACGATGATGATGATGATGATGATGATGATGATGATGATGATGATGATGATGATGATGATGATGATGATGATGATGATGATGATGATGATGATGATGATGATGATGATGAGGAGGAGGAGGAGGAGGAGGAGGAGGAGGAGGAGGATGAGAGGAGGAGGGGACAGCTGGAGGAGGAGAACGTGGGGCGCTGTCTCTTCAAAACGAAGACCCAACACCACAGGATGGTTTGGAAAAACATAAACATAAACTGTCGATGGTCCGCGCGGAGTTCTTGGACCTGAGCTGGAATCCCCTCCCTGGCGCAGGGAGCGCGCCAGGGGGTCCCAGCGCAAATCCAATAAATTCGCGCGCGCCGCCACAAACTTATGCTTGTGCCGCCATGCTCGTATGCCGTCCGGCCAAAAGCAGCTGCCTGCGCCGCTGCTGGTGCCGCCAAGAGTGTATACTGTCTAGCGCGCGCTCGTGCCACTGCTCGTGTGCCCACGGACGCGCGGCTTCGTTCGTTCACTGTGCCGATCTGCTCTTCTTCGTTATTCTCTCCTCCGAGGGCCCGTGATCAGCTTCTCCACCTCGGCCTCGATCTCGGCCAGCATCTGCAGAGGCCCCCGGTCGTGGTCCTATATAGAGGCCTCCCGGCTGGAGCCCGACAAGATGGGGCCGGAAGACCGCGCCGCATCGCCGATGCATCCGATGCACCAGCGATGCATCGGCGATGCACCGGCAACGTCGGCGACGCACCGGCAACGTCGGCGTGGAGAGAATCGGGCTCCGCATCGCGCCGCACCGGCGATGCCTCGGCGATGCGGCGCGATCCTCCGACCCCACCTGCCTGGGCCCCATCTGGGAGGCCTGGACGGGGAAACCAAAAGGTACCGATACCGCTGCTCCCCGAGCCTCTCGCGGGCTGCGTCCGGACCAGAGTTTCGGGGCAACTCCGGCGGTGGCGACGGGGGCCTCCCAGGAGGCCGAAAAAGGGGAAAACGAGCGAAGGGCAGCGGCATCGGCACCTTTGCCTCCTCTGACTACAGGAGGTCCGCGGCGCTGTGCGGGCAGCAGCGGGCGTAGAGCTGCCGCACGCCCGCCTTCAGGTCGCCGACCCTCCGGTCCTGGGCGCGCGTGTCGGCCTCGGCTCTACGGCGGGAGGGAGGGAGGGAGGGAGGGAGGGGGGGAGGGAGGGAGGGAGGGAGGGGAGGGCGGGGGGGAGGGAGGGAGGGAGGAGGGAGGGAGGGAGGGAGGGAGGAGGGAGGGGAGGGGAGGGGAGGGGAGGGAGGGGGGGAGGGGAGGGGAGGGGGGAGGGGGGAGAGGGAGGAGGAGGAGGAGGAGGAGGAGGGGAGGAGGAGGAGGGGGAGGAGGGGGAGGAGGAGGAGGAGGAGGAGGAGGGGGAGGAGGAGGAGGAGGAGGAGGAGGAGGAGGAGGAGGAGGAGGAGGAGGAGGAGCCGGCCTGCCTGCGCCCACCCTGCCGGCGGGGCCCCGGCGCGAAGGTCGCGGCGCGGGCAGCGCGGGCCGAGGCTCCGAGGCCGAGAGGTCGGGCGTCGAGGGCGAGGGCGAGAGTCGAGGGCAGCTGGTCGAGGAGAGCGAGGACCTCGAGGATCGAGGAGGGCAGCCGATCGAGGAGGGCGAGGGCACCGAGGATGGAGGAGGGCGGCCCGCGGCCCCCCGCGGGCCTTCTCGTCGTGCCTCCGCCGGAGGTCCTCGAAGCGCTGCTGCTCCTGGGCGATGCGCGCCTCCTGGGCCTTCACCGTGTCCTTCAGGTGCTGCACCTTGGCGCCCATCTCCCGCTTGCTGTTCTCGTAGAGGTGCCGCAGCTCGTCGAGCTGCTGCTCCGTCTCCTGCGAGCTGTGGATGAGGAACAGGTTCTTCTCCTCCAGCTCGGTGAACGAGTCCACCAGCTGCTGCGGCTCCCGGAAGCACAGCTCGTGCTCCTCCTCGGACGACACCTCGACGTACTCGCTCTCCACCCGCCTCTCCTCATCCTCCCTCGCCGAGGAGCCCAAACGCTCTGAAGGGGCCCTGGGACACACAAATAAATACACACACACATTACAAGATTCCCCATATTTCCCCATTTTTTCTGGGTTCCCGTCTTCCCCCCCACTTCCAATATTTTCGCATATTTTCCGGGGGATCGACGATTAATTGTGTCTGTGTGTGTTTTTTCCCCTCCTGACGCTCACGGGATCAGCACCACGAATACCGCACAGAGCCTCGGCCCGCGTGCCCCGCTCGATTTTCGCCGCGCACGAGTGACCGGGCGAGGGGCGCGGCCACCTCGAGGAGGCCCCCCGCCGCTTTCGGAGGGGCGCGAGGCGTGCGGGCTCTGAGGCGCAGGACCCCGTCAAGGACGCCCCCCGTGCCTTGATGGCATCGGAGAAGAACAAGCGGCATGAGCACAAACTTTCGGAGCCGCGCGGGGACGATTCGGATCGGCACCAGGGCTGAACCTAAACGGTGTTTTTCGTTTTCGTTTTGTTTTCGTTTTCCCTCGATTTGTCCTCAATCCGCCTTTAACGCAAAACGAAATCGAAACGAATACGGCCCACGAAATCGCCCAAACACCGTTTAGGTCCACCCCTGATCGGCACCGGGGCCCCCCCCCTGGCGGCTTGACCGGCGCCGCTCCTGGCGCGATCCACGCGCCGGGATGGGGGGGTCAGCGCAGATCAGAAAAATCCGCGCGGAGATCCGAGGAAGAGGAGGAGGAGGAGGCGGAGGAGGAGGAGTCCGCCTCCGCCGGGAGGAGGAGGAGATGGAGGAGGAGGAGCGGGGAAGGCTCATGTTTGTGCAGCTGTCCTTCTTCGATGGAAGGCCACCCAGATCGCTATGCCCCCCCGGCGCGCGCCGCTGACTATCGACGCGCGTGCCTCGTCTTTTGGGGGACGTGCACTTCCGCGCAACCCTCGGCTCCCACGCTTTGTGGCCCCGTGGGCGTTCAGGCTCCCGGCCTCCTCCGCTGCAGCCGCTTCTGCCGGTGCGCCCTCTCGCGCTCCCTCCTCGACATCTCCTCCTCCAAGAGGACACCAACCACACGCCGACTCAGAACTGGGGGGGGGAGGGGAAGGTAGCGAAAGGGGGCTGGGGGGCGCCCAAGAGGGGGGCGCCCAAGAGGGGGGCGTCCAAGAGGGGGCTTCGCGAATCATGACCCGAGGCATCCGCGCGGACGAGGGGGGAGGACCCGGAGACGTACATATTTGAAATACGAAGAGGGGGGCATGAAACCTGGGGGGATATCATAGCCTCGGCCATAATGTCCAACCTGGCCATGATGTCCCCGCCCCCCCCCCTATTGTCGCCATCACCCCCTGTTGGCCGTCCCCGAGCTCCGCGCGGCTGGATTCCCCAGCGACTCGAGGCACCGGACACGGGTGCGTATCGAGGAGGGTGCCAGGCAGCGGGGCTGAGCAAGCTGCATGCTGCAGAGTTCGTTCCCCCGCGCTTCCCGGACCCCCCCCCCCGCACAGGCCTCCGAGGTTGAGACTCCTGCAACACGCGGCCCCACCGAGCTCTCCACCCCTTCCCCAGGGACGGCGCCACGTGCCGAGCCCACTCGTCCCTGCCCTGGGCCAGAATGGGAGCCAGAGCACTGGGGCCGAAAACATCACGACGTCAGAGGCCAGAACGTGGGACCCCCCCCCCCCCCAGTGAGCCTGGCTGGCCCCGGCCCCTTCCCGGGCCCAGGGCTGGCGCACCGCTCCTGCCGGGCCCGCCTGTGCACACCCGTCCCCCCGGGCCCAGGCGGGGCCCCCGGGCCCTCTCGATGCTGAGCTCCCGCGGGGGCCAGGCGCCTGTCTTGCTGTCTCCCGCGAGAACGGCAGTCACTGGCCCCGCGCCCCGCCCCGACCCCCCCGGGGGGACATCACGTTCCGCGCCGGCGGCGTCCAGGAATGCCTTGGGATGGCCGGGGCCAAGTAGGAGCAGCATCTGGGTGGCGATCTGCAAAACAAAGCCCGTGTGCACAGCAGTGCTCGCGTGCACCACAGCGCGCATGTGCACCACAACGCCTGCGTGCGCCGCAACAGCCGTGTGCACCGCAGCGCCTATGTACACCGGTGTTTACGTGCACCTCGGCGCCTGTGTACACCACAGCGCCCATGTACACCGCAGCAGCCGTCTGCAACACAGCGCCTATGTACATCACAATGCTGGCGTGCACAGCAGCGCCTGTGCACACCACAGTGCCTGTGTACACCACAGCATCCGCGTGCAACACAGCGCTGGTGTACATCACAGCGCCTGCGTGCAAAGGACAAATAGAAAGAGCATGTAGGTCAGGATCTGCTGCGGACAGCTAAACACCACGCAAGGGCAGTGCTGTAGAATGCGATGTTCTTCCCTCCTCCTCCTCCTCCTCCGCCTCCTCCTCCTCGTCGTTTACGTGCACCTCGGCGCCTGTGTACACCACAGCGCCCATGTACACCGCAGCAGCCGTCTGCAACACAGCGCCTATGTACATCACAATGCTGGCGTGCACAGCAGCGCCTGTGCACACCACAGTGCCTGTGTACACCACAGCATCCGCGTGCAACACAGCGCTGGTGTACATCACAGCGCCTGCGTGCAAAGGACAAATAGAAAGAGCATGTAGGTCAGGATCTGCTGCGGACAGCTAAACACCACGCAAGGGCAGTGCTGATAATAGAATGCGATGTTCTTCCCTCCTCCTCCTCCTCCTCCGCCTCCTCCTCCTCGTCCATATCATCGTCCTCTTCCTCCTCCTCCTCCTCCTCCTCCTCCTCCTCCTCCTCCTCCTCTTCTTATTATTATTGTTCTTCTTATTATTATTCTTCTGATTATTATTATTCTTATTATTCTTCTTATTTATTTATTATTATTGTTCTTATTCTTCTTCTTATTATTATTACTTCTTCTTCTTAATATTATTATCCTTATTATTATTAGTATTCTGCTTATTCTTATTAGTATTAGTCTTATTACTCTTCTTCTTATGCTTCTTATTATTATTCTTATTAGTCTTATTATTCTTCTTATTCTTCTTCTTATTCTTAATATTATTATTATTCTTCCTCCTCCTCCTCCTCCTCCTTCTCCTATGTTTATTCTTAGTGTTATTATCATGGTTCGTAATATTATTCATGTTCAGAGTATTCAATATTGCCACTAGTGTTAGCATTATCCCAAGTCTTATGATGCGCAATATTCATATTTTCATTGGTATGATTATGATTCGTTGTATCATGTCAGTAGTAGTAGTAGTAGTAGTAATGATATTAGTTATTATGATAATAATAATAACAACAATAATGATAATAATAAGAATAATGATACTAATAAGACTACGAATAATAATAGTAGTATTATTAATACTAGAAACAATAATAATAATGTTAACACTGGTTGTAGTCTTCGTACTCTTCTCATAAGTAACCACTTTGTCTTTCTGAATCGTATTAGTAGCATCATTCTTAATAATGTTATTAGTAATCGTATGATAGTCGTATTCGTCTTCTGCTCCTTATTCGCATCCGCATTATGCTGAGTAGTGTTCATATTCTTCTACATGGTCTTAATACTGCTTTCCTTAGTTTCTTATGTTCCTTATTACTCTTAATATGAATGTTAATGTTCCTCCTCCTCCTCCTCCTCCTCAACCTCTACCGCCTCCTCCTCCTCCTCCGCTCCTCCTCCGCCCTCCACCGCCCTCCTCCTCCTCCTCCTTCTCCTCCTCCTTCTCTTCCTCCCCCTCCTCCTCCTCCTCCTCCTCCTCCTCCCCCTCCTCCTCCTCCTCCTCCTCCTCCCCCTCCCCCTTCTCCTCCTAATCCTCCTCCTTCTCCTTCTACTCCTCCTCCTCCTCCTTCTCCTTCTCCTCCTTCTCCTCCTCCTCCTCCTCTTACCTCACCCCCCGTCGTGCGAATCGGCGCTACAACGCATCATCACATCTCAGCGCGCATCCCGGAAACATGGTCTATTGTATCAGTCCGCTTGGTTCTCGCACGGCCAACTCTGCAGGAGCCTTCTGGACGCAGACGGGAGGAGTAAGGATGATAACGGGAGGACTCGGGAGGAATCGTAGATTTCAGAAGCGCTTCTTTCCAAAAGGATTCCTTCCCAAATCCTATATAAAACAATGTTGTTCTGTGGAATCCACAAGCGCTCCATTTTGTCATAAGGATTCCGTATAGAATTCTCTATGCAACAATAATGTTCTGTTGCACACGGCTGATGTGGTACACACAGGCGCCGTGGTGTATACAGGCGCTGTAGTGCACGCCAGCACTGTGGTTTACACTGGTGCTGTGTTGCACAAGGCTGCTTTGGTTTACGCAGACGCTGTGGTGGACACAAGCGCGTGGTACATGCAGACACTGTGGTGCACACAGGCGCTGTGTTGCACGCGGCTGCTGTGGTGTACATAGGCGTCGTGGTGTACACGGGCGCTATGGTGCACGCAGCACTGTGGTTCACACAGGCGCTATGGTGCAAATCGCCACCCACATGCTGCTCCTACCCGTCCTCGGTCATTCCTAAGCATTCCCAAACGCCGACGGCGCTGAAGCGAGATCCGCGTTTTGACAAGGAACCGCCCTCCATCCGTGAAACTCTTGCAGGCTTTTAGGACAAAATCTGCTCGGAGCAGTTCGAAAATGGCCCGCTCTCAGGTTGCCAACTTGTGAGACGAAGGCGCGCGGCGCCAAAGCGAGAGCCACATCCTCAGAAGGACGCACCCTCCGCCCGTGCCACTGCCGCCACGTTGCACCTCCAGGATCACAAAATGGTGAGGACCTCTCGGGCGAAACGCCTGGCCCGCCCCACCGACACACCCCGGGGTGCGACGGGGAAGAGTGATCTGCACGGAGCAGGAGCGGAGCGGAGTGAGGAGAGAGGGGGGGGAGAGGAGGCGGACGAGGGAAGGGGGAGGTGGGCAGGCTCTGTCGGGAGGTACATCCCCCCCTGAGAAATACTCCATCCCAGGGAACCCCAAAGATACCGATTCCGCTACTCCCCAGACCTCTCCCGGGGTGCGTTCTGACTGGGATTGCGAGGCGAACCCAGCGGTGGCGACGACGGCCTCCGTGGAGGCCCAAGAAGAGGAAAAACGGGCGAAGGGTACAGGTATGGGTTATGTTGTTCCCGTCGTACTTAAAGTCCACATCCCAGAAATAATTTCGAGCACCCAGACAAGTATTACAAGAGCGTCGAACGAGCATCGCCTCCCAGGGCCCGACCCGTGGAAACCCTCCGGTTTCGGCAGTACTTTCTTGGTGCTCGAAGTTATTTCTGGCGATCAAGACTACGGTAGGTGGAACATCAGCTAGGGGTACGTTTTCCATCCCTGACATCCACAGCAGGGCCCTGCAGGGGGCCTCCAAGGAGCCCCCAGAAGCCCACTGCCGCCCCTCGCCTCCGCGCCTCCGCGCCTCCCCGCCTCGCGCGAGGCGCGCGATTTTTTACCGCCGCGCCCTCGCGCCGTCGGTGCTGGAGAGGGACGAATCTCCGGGCCCGACCGCGGAGCGGCGCGCGACGCGCCAGGAGGAAACCGACTCGCTCCTCCTCCTCCTCCTCCTCCTCCTCCTCCTCCTCCTCCTACTCCTCCTCTCCTCCTCCTCCTCCTCCTCCTCCTCCTCCTCCTCCTCCTCCTGCACCTCCTCCCCTCCCTCTCCCCTCCTCCTCCTCTCTCTCCTCTCCTCTCCTCCCTCCCTCTCTCCTCCTCCTCCTCCTCTCCTCCTCGCTCTCCCCTCCTCTCCTCCCGCCTCCCTCCTCCCGCTCCTCCTCCTCCGCCTCCCTCCTCCTCCCCCTCCTCCCACTCCTCCTCCCCTCCTCCTCCCTCCTCCCTCCTCCTCCTCCTCCTCCTCCACCTGCCCCCTTCCTCCACCTGCCCCCCTTCCTCATCCTGAGGGCGGGGGCCTGGCCAGCTGGGGCGTCGCCTCCAGGACGAAAAGCAAGCCAGGGGGAAGCCCTGGGGTTCAAGGCCCGTTTTCCTTCGGGCCCGCTCTCCCTCAAGGCACTTTGGTGTCGGCGCATTGCTGGCGTCCCCCGGTCCTCTTCCTCTTCGCGCCGTCTCCGGCCTCTCCTGCGGGGTCCAGAAATCTGGCGCCTGTGCCCGTCTCCCTCCGTCCCACTCCGCGGCCTCGTCGTCGTCGTTCTGCTCAGGCTCATGCTCATGATTCATCTCACACTTACACTCCTAATCGCAATCGCACTCGTGTTTACGCGTGCTCCTACTCCTGATCCTACCCCGAGTCGCACCCCACCCAGCCTCCCCACTCCACCCACTGAATACGAATGCGAATGCGGATATCATTATGACCAGAACAAGGCCAGAGGGTTATTTGGTAGTCTTTGTTTTGCTATCTGGGGCCCCAGTGCGTTTACACTAGCACCTACTGCTGTAGAGGGACGTGACGTTTGCACGCAGGCCACCAAAAGGAGCATAGAGGTTGTAGCTCTGCTAAACCAACTGTTGCCGACGGTTGTTCGTGCATGAGGTGAACTAGAAAGCGCGTGATGACAACGCCGAGGATGGTAGCATCGAATCTCCCCCTACTGCATGAAAGCATGAATTGATCGCAGCGGTACCTTTTTTTTCTAAGTAGGCCCTTGAGGCAGAACGTCGCAGCGGTACCGACTAACACCAACGACTTTGGGCAAAAAGCGGTTGGTAACTCAGGCAGCGTTTCCACCCCCTTCGTACTTTGCGCTTTACTGCTCAGCACACGGTTCCTTCAGGGGCAGGCCCATCCACAAGCTGCGTCTTTCTGCATGTGCCCCCCACACCCACCCGAACGTCCCAGAGGAGAACATCCCGCACCTGCAGTAGTGGCACTGCAATGCGCAGCGAGCATCGCATGGGCACGCCGTAGCACTATTTTTCACTACGATTACCCACAAACTCTCAAACACTCAGATCCAACCATGGACCTCCCTCATTATCCACCCTACTATCTGGCAATGGCCCATGATGGCTCGCAGCACGCGTGTCACCTGGCACAGCAAACTTGCACCGAATCCGCCGATCCAGCGCGAGTCAAAAGCAACCCGAGATTCAGTTCAGCTCTGCTGGGGGGGGGGAGGGGGGCTATGCCAGGAAGGGGGGGGAAGGAGGGGGGGGGCGTGTACGCACCAAATCCCCAACCCAGGGACTCATTTTGTGATTGATTTGCCCATCCCGAATACGTTGGGGGGGAAGGTCCCAGGGACCCCGGAAAATCTAGCCGGGGGACCCTCCAGGGAACCCCCCCAGGGGACCCCCCCCGGGGACACCCCCCCCCCAGGACCCCCCTCTTGGGCAACCACCTGGGGGGCACGAGCGCCCGGGATCGGCGGTCCTGGGCAGATGCCACTCAAACTAATCACTCACGAAATCGGGACGGAAACGCACACCCTGCACGCGCCCTCACAGCAGTGATCGAAAGCTGGCTGGACAGCTCGCGAAGGACGTGGGCCCGACGCAGATGACAAGGGCACCGATAGAGGAGGAGGAGGAGGAGGAGGAGGAGGAGGAGGAGGAGGAGGCGATAGAGGAGGAGGAGGAGGAGGAGGAGGAGGAGGAGGAGGAGGAGGAGGAGGAGGAGGAGGAGGAGGAGGAGGGGAGGATTGTGAGGAGCGATGAGGAGGAAGAGCGAGTGAGCAGCGAGGAGCAGCGAGACGAGGAGGAACAGGAACAAGGAGGAGAGTCAGAGAGGAGCAGGAGGAGGCAGGAGGAGGAGGAGGACGACGACGACGACGAGTGAGGAGGACACGAAGAAGTGGAAGGAACAGAAGGAGGAGGAGGAGGAGGAGGACGGAGGACTGAGAGGAGGGAGGAGGACGAAGAGGAGGAGGAGGGAGGAGGAGGAGGGGAGAAGGAGGAGGGGGAGGGGGAAAGGGGAGGGGGAGGGAGGAGGAGGAGGTGGAGGAGGAGGGGAGGAGGAGGAGGAAAAGAGGAGGAGGCGGGAGGAGGCAGGAGGAGGAGGAGCCGGAGGAGGAGGAGGAGGAGGAGGAGGAGAACAAGGAGGAGGAGGAGGAGGAGAAGAGGAGGAGGAGGAGCTCTGCGGAGGAAAAGGGAAAGAAGGGGGACGAGGGAGGAGGAGGAGAAGGAGGAGGAGGAGGAGGAAGAGGGGGGATGGAGGAAAAGGAGGTGGGGCGCTCACCTTCCCGTGTGTCTGTGTTTCGCTGGTCGCCTCGGGTGAGAAAGGGTGGAGTTAAATGTCGATTATACTGAATCACGTGTTACTAGCATGGCCAGCCGACATTCGGGCACAGCCTCGGGATACACGATCCCTCCTGCAGGGGAGACAAGGCGAGAAAGCAAGACGGCAGAGCAGGGAAAAGAGAAACACAACAGACGATGCAGGGACGGACAAGAAAAGAGGTGAACCACCTCATCTCCCCCGACCGCACAGCACCCGAACCGGCACATGCCAGTTCCCTTTTCGGGACCTGTGGGTGGTGGACCAGGCAATGCAAATAGTACGGAAATTGGCGCTCGCGATACAGGGGACAAGCCTACAGTTTGCGATCAGCTGACATATCAGCACACGATCACGGACAGCGGGGGCTCAGACCGAAAGTACCTCACGCGCCTCAGAAGATCAGGAACACGGGAAGGGGGAGGGTGCCTCAACCGAAGGAAATTGTATGTATTTCACTGCTGCCCAATAGTACCAGGGTCCCCAAGAGCGGGAGCGATCGCTGCAATCCCCTTTCCAAATTTGCATAAGGATATGCGCGAACGACTGCCCCCACCAAGTGGGGAAACGGGGGACGAAGAGCACAGCGGCATCGGGGACTGCATTGAACATGGGGTAGAAACGTGCCATTGCATCACTAGGATCGAAGCGGCACGAAACATGGCAGCACGAACAGAATTGACCAGATCCCTGGGCTCGGCCGCCACTCCAACATCCCCAATCCCTCGCAGAATGGAACTGGGGATTGCATGGCGCGGCGCGCAGAGTGTGCCCAGTGGCCGTCACGTGCTTGGTGACTGGGTCGACTTGCCAGACGCGAGAGGAGGGCAGGACGACCAAAGACATCATAAGCACGAGAGTTGTGAACGAGCGAAAGAGAAAACGAGCGAACATGAGATTTACGATTAAGCAAGCAGCTTGGCACACGGGCCCCCCCGGTTCTCACCGCATCTTCCAGGGCCCAAGAACACGCCAAGGTATTTCCCACGAGGAAGAAACTTGACCTCCCGAACGTTCAGTCCCATAATCCGAAAATTACGCACGGTTCCCGAAGGGTCCAGAAATCCAGGAACGACAGCAACACACTTGTCGAGGTTCAGACAAAGCTCGGCACCGACGGCACTCTGAACCACCCAGGCAACAATGACGGGCAAAGAAAGGCACACGTCGCGAAAGGCACACGCAAAGTCATCGGCAAGAGAGAAGAGGCGGGCAGGATGTAAGGCAATACGCTGGTCCAGCGCACACACGACAGGGTCAATCGCCAAGATTAAAATAAGCCCTGCGATAGGACACCCTTGCTCCACACCTCTCCGCACGGCCCAGCCTGCAAACTTCCCTCGACAAAGCAAGAGATCCACTTCGATATCGGAATACAGAAACACAGCTGCCTGAACGATGTGACCAGGGAACCACATCCCCTCGAGCATCTGGAGGCCCCACCCATGGTTGAAGGAGGAAAAGCCGCGGCAATGCCCAGAAAGAGGGAACCAGCATTGGGGTATCCACGCCAGACACACCACCCCAGGATCACATATTCAAGACCGACGATAATGCCCATAATATTTCGTCCACAGCCGAAACCTAAAGCAGACTGCAGAGCCATATGCTGCGCTTGTTGCATAAGAGGAACGCGCAGGCACGATGTGAACATCTCGTTGTCGGCACTGCTCGTTGGAAGTGCCCGAGTCTGCTTGGGCTCAAGGATAGCACCCCCGTCGTCGCTGAACTCCTGCTGAGGAAAAACGATTGCATCACCGCGGTTGAAGCCGGCAGGGGGGTTCTGGTAGCCCGGGCAAGCTTCATGCCCGCGGATTTGAATCCGACGAACACGATTACTGGTGAACTTCCAGGCACCATAGGGAACTCTGTCGGGACCAGGGGCACAGCCATAACACCCACGAAGGCCATAAAGTCAGTAGCGAAATCGGTCCTAGGAGTACGAGGGGGAAGACGCCGCCGAAACTTGCCACCACCTGGAGGCACGAGACACCACGCGCGAGACTGAGGCCATTCACGGGCCCCCAGTGGCTAGCGGGGTTCGCGGCAGATGGTTCAATTGATTTCGGGGCACTACAACCAGGGC